GTGCCTCTGCCTGAGGGCTTTCTCCATGGAGCAGAGCAAAGAAGCCCCTGATGAGTGATAGTGTGACTGTCCCAACCATCCCCCAGGAGGATGGGGGAGACTCCAACCCAAGACACAGACACTGACTTGGTCACCGAAAGAACATTATTTCCAAAATTAAGGCTAAGGTGTACAAGCTCCCCCTTTGTGGTTTCTGCCCACTCCCACCAGACACTAAGGTACCTTTTTCGCCATAAACACCTTCTGTAGAATTACCCCTAAGCTCCCCCATATCCTAGAGGCTGGATGGGCCTCCCCTTCACAGCTCAATATGGTCTGTTTGGGGTGACGTCCTGGCTGTGTCCTGGGCAAGGAGCTCGGTGAAGAATGCCACTTCCTCATCTTTCAGCTTCTGGGCTGCCTGGGTGGGGACGCCAATCTGCAGGTAGCCTTCCTCCTGGTCATACACAGGCCAATGGGGCAGCCCCTCCCCGTTGGGGTTCCTGGAAACAGAAAAAAACATCAAATAGAAAAGCCCCAAGGTACTGTGTGGTCCCAACAACTCCCAGAGATCTGCAGGGACACCCCCCACAACCCCACGCCAGCTTCCTCTCTCCCAAAAGACTCAGGTGCCCCTATAGGCAGGGACCTCCCCATCTCCTGGGAAGCTGGTCCTTTTGAGAGCTCTCATGTCATAGGTCTCAGGGCCAGGAGTTTGACCATCAGTGTCAGAAGCTACCCCTCCCAACAGATACGCCCTGCCCCTCCCCAGTCCTGCTCTGGCTGCTCACCCATTCCGAGCAAAGTTGGCCCAGAATTTCATCATCATCTTGCTGAGTTTGATCTCCTCTTCAGAGGCACCATCTGGAGGGAAGAAGAGGAAAAGTCTTTGCTACTCCACATGTGGTCCTGGGCTGGCAGCAGCCACACCATTTGAGTGCTTGTTGGAAATTCAAAATCTGAGCCCCGATTCTGGACACACAGAGATGAAAGCTGCGTTTTAAGACGACCCTGGGTCATCTGTGTGCACTTGAAGCTGCGGAAGGTACTGATGGAGGACTCAGCCCAGGGCTGCAGCCAACACATAGACCTTAGTGTTCTCCGCCCTTACACCCATCTCACCCTCCCTCTTCAGAGTTGAAAGGGTTCCCCAACAGCCACCCGCCTCCCAGGATTGTCCTTCTGGGGTGTTTTTTGGATCTCAGCCACCCAATCACATTTTCATTGTATGTGAAAAATAACAGAAGCGCAATGACCCTAAGAAGTCATCCAGTCAGAATCATCAGTCAGTCATCATCCAGTCAGTCATCCAGACCCTGAGGTGGGTCACACACAAGTCGTCCATCTCTGCTGATAGTTACGGTACTAAAGACATTTAGGAATATGATCTTTTAGAGAAAGGTTGTCTATAAAATATCATATTCCTAAATATATTATATTTTTTAAAAATATGAGTTTTAGATATATGGATAGTTGGGTAGATACACAGAGGGATGTATGTTAGCCATGATTGAAGGTTAACACCTTATAATTCTAGCCTTACTCTGACACTCTGATAGACCCTTGTGAGTGGGACCTGACCGGGGACATTCTAGCCCGTCAGCAGGCCCTGTCTTACTGATGCCCATTGTGCACGTCAGAGCAAGAGAGAGGCGGACCTTTGTCATTCAACCTGTCATGGTGAATTCGGGAAATGAAGTCT